ATATACCTTGTTTTATTCAGCCTTCCCCTTACACTCTCTTGGGAGACTGCAGGCCTGGTCATCCTGCAGTAACTAAAGGATATTATTAACCTGGTGTTTATAGCCCAAAGTGTGTTCTGTTTTAGAGAATGTTTCATGGGCTGTGAGAAAAAATGTATTCTGCTACTGTTGGATGGAATGTTGTAGATGTCTGTTAAGTCCACTTGATCTGAGTGTAGTTTAACACTATTTTTTGAGAGTACGATGTTAAGATTACCTACTACAATGTTATGGGTATCTCTGTCCCTTCATATCAAGTTGTATTTGTTTTATAAAAAAAAATTGATGATACTAGTATTGAGTGCATGTCTAGCTATAATTTTTTTTTTTTTTTTTTTTTTTGACCAGGGATCAAACTCAGGACCTTGCACTTGCTAGGCAAGTGCCTAAGCCACTGAGCTATCTCCCCAGCCCATGTCTGTTTATAATTGTTATCTGTTCTTGGTGACTTATTCCTACTACCAATACACAGTGGCATTATTTGTGTCTTCTAATTTCAGTTTGACATCTACTTTGTCTGATATAAGTATAGCTGCTCCTGCCTGCTTTAGGACTCCGAGTGCTTGAAGTATTGTCTCTTTACTTTTAATCTGTACCTCTTTGCAGGCAAAGTATGTTTCTTGCAGGCAACATATAGATAAGTGTTATTTTTTTTTTCCTATCTGCCAGCCTATGTCTTTTAATTATTGAAGGCCATGTACTAATTCCTATTATTTTTTCTCCTAGTGGTTGATTTGTTCCCGATTCTCATTTGTTTATATACTCTGCCTGTCATTTCTTTCTCTTGGCCACATGTGTATAGTTGTCTTCTTCCTCTGTATTTGAGATTCCCTTATCTATTTTCTGCTATGTGGGCTTAGTGGTTATGAATTTCTTTAGCTTATACTTATCTTGGATGGTATTTTTTCATTTTTGAAGGATAGCATTTCAAGGTATAGCAATCTAGTTGGCAGTGACTTTCCTTTATATTTTAAAGTACATCATTTCAAGTCCTCCTGCTCTGGAATTTCTGTTGTAAAATCTGTTTATGATGAGTCTGGCATTATAAATAATTTAATGTTTCTCTCTACTAGCTTCTAATATATTCTCTTCTGGATTTTTGGCAATTTGAGTGTGATAGATCATAACGAAGTTCTAGTTATATGTATTTGGAGTTCCAAATGCCTCTATATTGTGGCTTCTATCTTGATGTCCCCCCAGAGTTTCATGCACTCATAGGTATGACTTTTCAGAGGATTAAGCACAGGTGAATATGTATTAAGGGTGTGTGCTGGTTTGGCATAATTCTGGATGTGGATGGTGGGAAGGCACACCCTAGATGTAGGAGGCACCAAACAGTAGGCTTGTGGCCAGGATGGAATGAATGGGGAGAGGGGATGCAATGCTGTTGCTCTGCTGCTTTGCCTTCCCTGCCAAGGACTGTTTCTCCTCTACCGTTTCCTCTGCTGACTATGGGCTGAAACCTCTCCCAACTATAAGCTAATCAGAACCATTTCTCCTTTAACTTTGAGTGCCAGATATTTTGTCCTGGCAACAAGAAAGTAACTGAGATCACTTCTTGGACTTTTGGCTAAGATCAGATGTGAAGAAAATGACTAAGACATACTATTAGTTGGATATTCATCTTGTTCCCCAGAGTTGACAAATGTTTCAGTATAACTTCAGTGAATAGGTTTTCTGTGTCATTAGAAGCCTCTGTTTCCACCTCTATTTCCTTCTTGAGGTGAATAAGTCTTTAGTGTGGTTTTTTAGAGTTATCCAAAAGCTCTTAGATAATCTGTTCCTTACTTCTTTTTGTTAACTGCTGTTAGTATTCTAGTGTATCCACTTTGTTTTGAAGTCCTACAATCTTTCTTCTTATTCAAGTAGCCTACTATTGGGACTTTCATTTGAAGAATTTTTGAAGAATTTTGTTGGCTTATTTTCTCATGAGTCTTGTGTTTCATGTTGAGGTTTGTGGGTCGGTTGGGGGTGATATCTCTACCATTTTGTGTGGAGGTTCTTTTGGTACATGACTTTCTTATGAGGTACCCTGGGCTATGGCTGCATCTCTGAAAATAGCCTGTTCTAGGCTCCAGTGAAATCTCTAGCACTGCGTAGTAGGAGTGAATGACTTCTAATAACACTTTTAATCTCTACCTCTCTGCAGGCAAAGTATGTTTCTTTCAAACAGTAAGCCATCTATTAACATATAATTACAAACTTATTTTAAAAATGCTGTACTGTGTGACTGACCCAGGGAAGAAAAAAGAAAATTATAATCTGCAATAAACAAGAAAAACTAGACATTAATACTATTCAAATTAATACTAATAATATGTTATATGAAAAGGAGAAGAGTAGACAGATGAAGGTATGAGAAGGGACCGAAGAAAACAAAGAAAGAAGAGGAGGGAAGAAAATATGAATAAGAACAAGAGGGGAGATAAGGAGAATAAATCCAATTAACAAACCGACAGTAAAATAAAGTTAATGTAAGCCTCTGAAACAACCATTCATGTGAGAAAAAGTGATGAAGTGTAAGTACAGCAGCAGCTAACATACACATCTACACACTGCTCACACAGCCTCTATCCACCAGGCCAAACCAAGCTAAAATCCAACAAAGCAAAAACAGAAAACCCAACCAAACAAAAAACTAGGACCATATCTTCTTATGGAGGTATTTATTTATTTACTTACTTACTTATTTTGGGGGTCCAGGAATCAAACTCATGACCTTGCACCAACCAGGTGCTTCGCCTGGGGTCTCTTGTAGCTCGCAGAGGTAGAGAAGGCTTATAGTTGCCATAGTCAAAAATGGTTTCTTGGCAGAAATACACTGCCAGGAGTTTCAGGGGAGGCTTGCTGGGGAAGCCGTGCAGAGACTGCCACAGCACCACCCACCCAGGAAAGTGTCTTGAACAGCAGAGGTCGGGAGATAAAAACATAGCCTGGACCAGCTGGAGGCAGGCTTTCTAAGAGACTTTCATCCTTGATGCCCCTGCTCTCTGCGAGCTCTGATGAGGCTCCATAGCCATCTGCCGGGTATGAACTGGCCTTAGGGCTACCTTGGGGCTGAGGGTGAGTGAAGCTGGCCGTGTGCTCCTTCCCAGTGGCCTTTCTCTGGTCTAGCACTGAGTGGATGTTCAGGTGAACTAGGGAAGAAAGCAAGGGTGAAGGGGAAGTGCTGTGGGGCTCCCTACCCTTGAAATGAGTTTTGGTGCAGCAACACAGCCATTGTCAGAACTACAGATGGCGAATTGGGTATGCGTGAGGGGCTGCTGAGGCTGCTGAGAGGTCTGCGGGGACCTGGTTCCTGATCCCTGTAATAGTAAAGAGAAAATGAGGGAGAAAAGTCGTCGTTCTTTCAACTTCACAACTTTTAACACATTGCTTGAGTAAGAGAACTGCTGCAACTGTGTCCTTAAGGCTCTTGTGAATTCTAAGCAAAGAAAGAAGAAATGGGGCTAATGGTATATACCACAGTGGCAGGCCTGGTAACAGCCTATTTGAAGTCAGCGCTGTGCACTGCCTACTTCTACAACTGTGCAATACCATCTAGTGTGGTTGTTTGGGACACGTTGGGATAAAGCTGCCCTCGGGTGGGTGTACACTCGTGTCCGTAATCTCAGCCCTCTGCCTTCTGTTCTGCTGTGCAGCTTTATCACTAATATGACTTTTCAGTTATATGTTGAATTAATGCCAACATTTTCTGATTTATTAACAGTGATCAGGTTATGGGAAAGAAAAAAAAAAAAAACAGTGATCAGGGTTTCACCTGTTTTTCTGTCTTTGCATTGCTGGGGATTGAGCCCAGGGCCTCCTGCATGCTAGGGAAGCACTCGACCACTGAGCCGTGTACCCAGCCCTGATTCTACCTGCTCTCTGGAGAATGTGGCCTGTTTTCAGCTAATCTTTTCAGTCCTTGTGCCTAGAGCTGAGACCCTCGGTTCCTGGAGAGCAGCGAAGCATTGTCCCATGCCCCTCATACCTCCCTTTCACCTTGGAGCAGTAGCTCCTAGCCGTCCAGACTTGGGCTGGGCAGTGCCAACTGCCAGTGAGAGGCTCTTGTTTCCCTGTGGAGTCAGCCAGCCGTAGATCTGTGGTGTTCTCCTTCCTAGGCAAACAGAGGAGCATTTCCTCCCCCGGATGTTGCAGGACCTGACAAAGCAGGTGAGTCCCACCTGTGAAACTCATTTGCCGTCAGAATTCGCCACCTGGGCTACCAGTGGGCCGCGTGGGGCAGGGACTCTAGGGCACAGCAAGCGCCCTGGCTGGCATGAGCAAGGAGCAAGGAAGGGGGAGACTCTGCAGTGGAAGCAGGGCCTCAGTGCTGCTCCCCCGTCCTCCCCAGCCTGCCCTCTCCCCCACCTCCCTCTCCTCTCCTGGCTTCCAGCTGGCTTTCTGTTCTTCCTTTCTTCCACATGGCTGGAAATGGCCCTCCCCATGTTTTCTACATTTCCCACGCTGAGGACAACTGTCTTATCTCCATGGCTCATCAGCAGGGAAGGGACTCTGATGTTCCCACTTGGTTTCATCTTGTGACTGGGGCAGGTGAGCCCCACTGCAGATCAGCAGCTGTTATCAGCTGGATGGCCACAGGTCAAAGACAGCTTCCAGGGCGACTGTCCTGGGTCATTGGCCCTGTTAGTGTCTGTGGCATTCTGCGCCCAGCTGCTCTTGGCTGTAGTCATTTTTTTCTTTATGCAGAGTTGTGCAGACACCTCCGCCTGGTGTGACCTTGCAGTCCCAGGAGCAGGCATAGGGCATCTGCCTCTTCCCAGTGCGCCAGAAGCAAACTCAAGTCCAGCCCTCACGGCCAGCCCCCTACGCTGCGGAGTGCTCACAGCACAGACTCCACCAGCACCTCTCGTTCATCCACATTTCTACTCAATGCCTGGCTTCCTGGTGGCTACCTCCTGCACTACCTCCCCACCCACCCCTGTCCCCTAGGCCTGCCTTTTTTCCGTCGTGGCGTCTGCCTACTTCAGTGTGTCTGTTCTGAGAGCAGCCTCTTATTCACAACCTAGCATCCTGCCCTGCTGGAATGTGTGTTGAACTCAGCAACCGGGTGCTCTCCTCATCGCGGATCTCAGGGACCCCACGGCGCCCCAGGAATGTGGCAGAGAGGGAATGAATGCATGGATAGACAAGTAAACAGACCTTGGAACTAGTCTGAGTTTGCTTAATCCTCAGAAACACCGAGTTGGTTTTCATTTAACGGGCATGGAGGTGTTGAGTAGCTTCTTAGAACTGCACAGCTAGGCAGAGGAGCCTGGGTCCCACTGCAGAATGTGCTCCTCGTATAAAGGTTCATCCTCACACTCATCCCCAGCCTGCCCTGAGGCCGCATATGCTAAGCCTGGAGCTCCCTGCAGAGGCTGCTTCTCCTGCCTCTTCTCACCTTGGCTCTACCTTCATCAGACAGCGTTCCCTGCAGGTCTTTGACTACATCTCTTAACCATCATCTCCATGGGATACGATTCTGTTAACAAAAACTGAAGGAAATGAACAGAGAACATTAGGTTGAGTAAATTCATCATAAGGACATCATGGCTGTATTGTAGGTCCTCACAAGGACCTATTGCCTCTCCATGGGAGAGGTCCATCGCACACGGGGACCAGGCCACAGTGACTTTTCTTGCATTCCTGGCCAGCAGGAGCTGCCATCGACTCATAGCCACAGAACACCACGAGCCAGATTGAGTTTCTAGATGCTGTCCTGAGCTCCTGGGAGAGGTACCATGCAGGGCCAGTTTGGCTGAAATCTTAACTTTGGTAATCAAAAATAGCCAGGGTGAGGGCTGGTGAGATAGCTCAGCAGACTAAGCACCTTCTTAGGCAAGCGCAGGGACCAGGGTTCAATCCCTGGCACCACATGCTGTGCTGGCCCAGCCCTGGGGTGCACTGACCTGGCCACTGAGACTGGGCATGGTGGCTCACGCCTGTAATCCCAGAGCTGGGGAGGCTGAAAGCAGGAGGATCACTACAAATCTGAGCTGTGTAGAGCGACTGTGTACCAAATACATAAAAAATAGAATAAAATAAGTAACAAGGGTTATTTATGTAACATTTGGGAAGGCTTCTTAGTCACTTATTGCAGGGACAAAATGTGTGACACCCACAATTTAGAAGAGGAGTTTATTTTGGCTTACAGGTTATAGCTGTTGACTCCAAGGCAGAAGTGGCACAATGGAAGGACTTGGGTGGAGGAAGTCCACACGATGCTCAACTCATGGCAGCCAGGAGCCAGAGAGAGAAGGGAGGAAGCCAGGGCAAGACCACCGTTCGGGGTCGTGTCCCCAGGGACCCACCTACAAGCCAGGCCCTACCTGGGATAGAGGAATCTATTGATGAACGTCACATCCCCATGATCCCACTATCTTCCACACGATGGTGTCTTTGGGGCACATTTTGGATCTAAACTATTGTAGAAGAGGACACTTAGCCAGGCACAATCACCTCCCAAGGCACGTGAGGCTCTTCATACTTTGAACCATGACAGCGTGCACATTTAGCATCATCCTGACCCCGAGCTCAGGTGTGGGTGAAACACTCCAAGGGCCTGCCTGCCATGAGATTTGTGCTCTTGGCATTCTGCTCTCTCTTTACTCTTCTGTCCTCTCCTAAGAACCGCGCAGTGGGGCCTGCTGAGCCAGAGCTGCGTGCAGCTTATAGCCAAGTGTCTCTAAGTCTGGCTGATCCCAGGTCAGGTTGCTGGAGTCGGCCCCAAGCAAAAACGAGCTAAGGTCCAGGGACAGCTTCAGGAAATGGGTGGATTGCCCAGTCGCTGCTCTAGCGCAGACAGCCCAAAGTCCACAGATCACTTTCCAAGCTTCATTCCAAATACTCTGTCATGTCCACCCCTGCCCCATTGCTCTGAGTTCTTGTGCCTTCATGCAAGGCACCTGAATGCCACCACTGCCTGAGTGGACAGGCTCTCCGGGAGCAGAGTACAGTACCAAGCCACCAGCCAGCGCCGTGGTCCTGGGGTGACAGCGTTCCTTGCACCTACCATGAACAGTAACTTGGTGGGAGAGATGAAGGAGAGAAAAGGCCTGAGTTTGTGCTCTGTCCCTGCCCCTGGCCATAATGAGGGTTGAGCTCATGTTTGTAAGGAAACCCTAACCAGACCCTTAAGGTGCATTCTAAGCCTCTTGAGATTATTATTTCTTGGCTTAACAAAGTGACACAGCATTGTAACCTTGACCTTGAGAGAGACCTGCCAAGCTCAACCTGGCATGTGCTAGGGGTGTCTGTCAGTCTATATTTCAATAGGTCCATCCTATCCCCAGGTGTTACGGTCAGCCCTCATTAGTTTCAGTGCCTCAGTAGACCTTGGGGCATCCACAGGGGATGCTCTGTCACCACCGGGGAAGCCCTGTCACTGTGGGTTTCAGGTCTCTTATGGACAGACCTACCTGCATTCTGCTGGGTAACTTTTTGCCACCCTCTGTTAGAACGCTTCTGCAAGAAGGATGAGAAGGCTCCCTGGTCATCCTGTCCAGCGAGTAGCAATAATACTCATGCTGCAAGTCATGTTGAGCAGCACTCGGTAAATGAGAGCGGTCGTTATTAATAAAGATGACAAGATGGTGATTTGCGCTCATGAAAATTTCAAGAAGTGGTGTTTGTGAGCTTGGGCCATGGTCATGAGTAGTGTGGCTGGAGCTCCTTTTGGAGAGCAGGTACCAGAATGCCTTGGGATGTAGAAGGACACAAAGCAGGGCTAGGGACAATGGCAGCCTCCTGAGGCTGTCCTGAGGACATCTGGGGTCCTCGGTCACTTCATAGCCCGGGTAGGATGGCTATAGAATCGGGTGCTATTTTCTTCTGACTCCAGGAAACTGTGCCCTTTGGGGATGCCGTGCTGGCCACCTGGGACACCTGCATCGGGAGTGAGGTCTGCGAGGAGCTCTGGACACCACACAGGTTGGCCAGGTCCCCTGTGCTGGGCCAGTGGCAGGGTTGGCACTGATCATGGGATGAGTGTGCCCCATGAAGACAGCGAGGGGGAGCTCCAGGGGCTGTGGAGGGCTGTTGGGATCCATCTGGGCTCTCTCCGCCTGCTCTGCCACAGCCCACATGTTGACATGGGCCTGGATGGAGTGGAGATCATCACCAATGCCTCCGGCAGTCACCACGTGCTGCGCAAAGCCCACGCCAGGGTGGACCTGGTGACCATGGCCACCACCAAGGTAGGCAGCTCTGGCACCGCCACAGCATTGTCATCTGGAGCATTTGGAGCCTTCAGTGCCTGGGGTGGGGCTCAGCAAGCGCAGCTGCCCCTCCAGGGCTTCACCTGCTCCTCACAGCCACCTGTTCCCACCTGTGTCTTAAAGGGATCCAGAAACAGCACCCACCCTAAGTGTGGGGATGCCCAGGGACCGTCCATGTGGTGGGGCTCTCCTCCTGGGCAGGTGGCTGTGGCAAGGGGCTGTGCTGGTCAGCCATTTGCAGGCAGTGGCATCACCTAGCGCCTCGGCTGCTCGGGACTGCGGCGTGACCTGGGGAGAAGGCAGTGCTGCGCTGGGACACTGAGAAGAGAAGAAAATTCCTGCAGGCTTTGTATCCCTGCCTGCTTGTGCTCTCTCTTGGGCTGAGGATGCAGATGATGCATGGGCCAGAGAGTAGGAGAGAGGACAGTGGCACGCCCAGTGTCTTAATGGTGCCAGTGGCAGGTGAGGGTGAAGAGCCACCACTGACAATCTCACTGTCACCTCTGTCTTTTTCAGAATGGAGGGATCTACCTGCTGGCCAACCAGAAGGGCTGCGATGGTGACCGTCTCTACTACGACGGCTGCGCCATGATAGCAATGAACGGGAGCATCTTTGCGCAGGGGTCCCAGTTCTCTCTGGATGAAGTGGTAGGAGTGAGCAGAGCACGGTGCGGGGCAGCAGCCTTGGCACCTTCCCAGTCAGTCCCCACATGCAGAGGCTCATGTGCCCCCATACCCAGGTTATGTGATGAGAGCCCTGTGGGTGACCTGCTGGGCCGCCCCCTTGTCACCTTGTCTCTGGGGTTGTGGTGACAGCTTAAACATATGGCAGATAAGAACACATTTATTTTATCTTTGGGAGGATTTTAGCTCATGGGACATGGGGCTCCCTGGGCATATGCTCAAGAGCAGAGTGAACAGCAGGCATTGGGACCAGGTGTCAGGGTGACAAAGACTAGGAACTGCCTGATTCCTTTTCAGCCTGTGACTGGCTTATTTGAATGATTCTGGGGACCAGAGGGCACTGAGGCCCCCTACTCAGGAAGGAGCAGGTACCTGCCTGGTCCTCTGGTTTGTTGGGGTCCAGGTTTGCTGGGGACCTCATGCTCAGGACCAGCATTGGTTGGTGGAGGATTTCTCTAGGGGTCAAGATAGCACTCACTGGTGTGAGGCATCACCCTAAGCAGCTCCGAGACTTCAAGGGAGACCCCACACCCCTGGTGGAGAAGGGGCCTCTGAACGTGTGGAAGGCCAGTGGGGAGGGACAGAGCTGTGTGTGGCCGGGCTGCTGAGTGTTCTGCTCAGTGCTGCTACTGTCCTGAGGGCACGTGGGGTTAAAAGGTCAAAGGGATGAGACATGGAAAAGACCAGAGATGGGGACCCAGCCACCCATTCGCCACTGCAGCCAAGTGCCCCTTGGGAACCTGGGTCATGAGCTTATGAGGGCTGCACATCCCTCTGAGAAACTGGTAGGCTACACACGTGCCACCTCTAACAGTGCAGATGTGCAGGGTCTCTTACCGCATCAGATGTTAATTTTCTTTAGAGAGAAGAGATCTCACCTTGGAGGTTTCCTAGTTGGTCTTTGAGTTCTGCTTCCAGGTGAGGGGGCCCCAAAGGCCTCTTTGTTCAGTGCTGACCATTGTGTAGAAGGGAGCGAATCTCAGGAAAGAGGAGGTTCACACCAGCTCCCAAGCACATTCCTGTCTTGGTCCAACAGTGCTCAGGTGGTCTTTCAGTCCAGATTGTTTTGGCCAAAACATCTGTCCCCTGTCCTCTGCTGTGATTAACGGATCACCTACAGTGTCTGAATGTAACAAGTGATCTGCTGACAGCGAGTGGAGGTTTATGTTGGCAGCTGCTTACCCCTGTCCTTGGGCCCCAGCAGCCCACAGGCCCTCACACCCCTCTAGGAGATGTAACTCATTCACAGCCAACTCCAACAACAACGGTCATAGTACCCAGAGGGGAAGAAAAAGGCTGGCAGTTGTGACTTCTTTTTAAAATTCCCTCTCCAGGAGGTCCTGACCGCCACCTTGGACCTTGAGGATGTGAGGAGCTACAGGGCAGAAATTTCTTCTCGCAACCTGGCGGTGAGTACATAGTCAAGGCCTGCGTGGGTACAGGTCTAGGACTCAGAAAGTGTCTCCTCCACTGAGGGTATGTCTGGGGCTATGGGCCTAGTGTGACAACGCTGATGGAACATGCAGGGTGTGGTTCCAAGAAAACCTGAGCTCCAGCTGCCCTCAGTGGTCACCTGGGACATCAGACAGGCACAGTGTGGTGGGGCAGCAGGGAGAGGGGCCGTGAGGTCCATGCAGGTGAGACTGTGACCCAGGAGGCCAACCCTCCTGGCAGCTCGGGAAGCCCCGGGTTGGGCTGCAGTGAGGGCAGTGTGACCACCTGGCAGCGGGCAAGCAAGGCCAACCACCTGCTGGAGTTAGGACAGGGCCTGGGGTGTAGGTCAACGTGTGCCAGGCCCCTGAATGTGAGCAGGGCCTTTGACTAGGGGTCCCAGCATTTCTGTAGGACTCCAGGTCATGGATTGCAAACATTGCCAAGTAATAATAATTCCCCTGCCATATAGTTTGCCCATTACAGCAAGTGGAAGGCCGGCGGGGAGGGTTTCTGTTGTTTTTGCTGCAGGCATACAGTTGTAGCAATTACATAGTCCATGTGAGAATACTTGCAGGCCCAAACAGGATCAGTGCCCACAAGCAGCCACTCCTGTCCCTGTCCCTTGGCCTGGAGACCACTGATCTGGTCTCCGCCTCTGAAGACCTGTCCTTTCTGGACATTTCATAGGAATGGAACCCGGAAGTGTTTGTGGATTTCCATCTGGCTTCTTTCACTTTCCAGAGTCCAGGCGCATGCACGTTGTGGCGTGTGTCGGGTTCATTCCTTTCTTGGGTGAATGTGTTCCATTGTGTGGATGGACTGTGGTGTATTTGCCCATTGGGCACTGAGGCATTCATGGTTTTTTGTCTGCTGTAACACTCATGGATGGACTTCTGACTGGGAACCTGCTTGTTTTTTAATAGCTATATTCAGGGGTGGAGTTGTTGATTCACTCTTACTTGACCTTCAGAGAGGCTGACAGTGTTTTCCAGGGCAGCTACCTGCTTTCTATCCCTGCCAACAGCATGTGTGGGTGTGAGTTCTACACAGCCTTACCGGCACATGGCGCCACCTGTGGCTCTTCATTTGAGCTGTCCGGTATCCCTGGGGGCTACTGTCCATCTTCCCCTGGCTGCTGGGAGCCCGGGCACTTGTGAAGCTTCTATAATGTGGGGCTGTCACTGTCTTGCATGTCCAACAACAGGCCAGTAGGGTCAGCCCCTACCCCCGAGTGAAGGTGGACTTTGCGCTCTCACACCACGAGGACTTGCTGCAGTCCGTCACTGAGCCTGTGGAGTGGAAGTACCACAGGCCCGAGGAGGAGATAAGGTGGGTGGCTCTCAGCTCTGGGGGCCCAGTGCTCACGTGGTCATCCCCTTCCATCCAGTGGTGCCACAGTTTGCACTGGGGTTGGGGTGGCACGGAGCATGTGCAGTGGGCCACAGAGCCTTCCCCCAGGGGAGGCCTTGGGCTCAACAATCCTGTGCCTCCCTGGGCCCCACCCCTGACCCTACCGTGTCTCTGTGCTGTGACTTTGGCATGCAGTCTGTCCAAAAAGAGATCATGGTGATGCCCAACTCTAAGGTTGTCTTCAGAACCAAAATGCCCTAGCTATCCTGAAGCACAGACTGGGATATGGCCAGAGCCTAGCCCCCCTGACCAGCATCTCTAGACTCCCTCCTCTGGGGGCTGTCCCTGGGGTGGCCGCACTGCTCCACTCTCAGCGCCCTGATTGCTCTGCAGCCTTGGACCTGCCTGCTGGCTCTGGGATTATTTAAGACGAAGCCAACAGGTAAGACGCCCAGTTTCCAGCGAGCTCACTGTGCCTCTTGTATTGATTGGTCTGTATCAAACTCCAGAGGAAACTTCTAACTTCTTCTCCTATGTGAAGCTCAAGGCATTTATCCGTTCTGCCTGGGGGTGGGGGGTGGTATCTGCATAAACCAGAGGGCAGATGGGCAGAGCTACCTCGATGCTCAGAGTTCACTGTCTGGTGTCTTGTGGCTCTGCGTGTCTGTAGTTTATAAGAGGGAGTCAGCCATAGACAAGCCCCACAGAGGTCTCCATCCCTTCCAGCCTCTGGCACTTGTGCAGGACTTTTCTCAGCCCAGGGATGGAGTTGATATCCCTGAGTGTTTCTGTGGGGTTCTCTAGGCAGAGCTGAGCTACTTACTCTCTGGGTTGCTGCTTCTCTGAAGTTCTGCTGATACCGTGCTCTCTTGGCCCATTCCAGGCGGGGTTTTTCCTGCCCCTGAGTGGGGGTGTGGACAGCGCAGCTACTGCCTGCCTCGTCTACTCCATGTGCTGCCAGGTCTGTGAGGCGGTGGCAAGAGGAAGTAGGTGACATCCGTGGGTCCTGGGGAGCGCCAGGGGTGGGGAACATGAAAGAGGGCAGAGGAGACCCCAGCTGTGGGCATCATGGCTGATGGAGGGCTTGTGGCAGTGCCCGTTGTCACATCACGTACATATCCCAGGGCCACAAAAGCCCCTCCCTGGGGCATATACCTGATGTGGCTGAGAGTAGACAGCTGAGCCTGCCTCCACCCTTTGATAGTGTGGCCCAGTGAAATGATAGAGGCTCTGTCAGGTCACCCCCCGGTGTGCAGCTGCCACACAGTGAAGTCGTCAGCTGCCAGGGGTGCAACAGGGGCTGGCTGTGCAGAAACCCTGGTGATAGAAGGGATAAGCTATGCAGATTCCCTGGTGACGGGCTGGGGCTAGCCATGCAGACAGTTCCTGCATAACATTGCCTTCTACTTGATCTCTCCGGGGGGATTTAGATCAGGACGTGTTGGCTGACATCCGGGCCATTGTGGATGAGAGCAGCTACACCCCTCAGGGCCCTCAGGAGCTGTGTGGACGCGTACTGACCACCTGCTACATGGCCAGTGAGAACTCCTCCCAGGAGACGTGCAGCAGGGCCCAAGAGCTGGCCCAGCAGATTGGAAGGTAAATCAGCCCTGGTGCCTAGCATAGCCTGCACCTGTGACATGGTCAGGGCCACTGTCGGTTCTGCCTGTGTCCACTTAGTGTTCACTGTGGGTCTAGGAGTCAATCTCTCTTCTGCTTTCTCTTAACTTGGGTCAGATTTTAGGAAAACCATATGCTCCCAAGTCTCAGACCTGGTACGGCTTCTGCTGTCCCTCCCTCCCCCTGCTTCCCAGGCATAGCTATAAGACAGGTGTGCTCCAGCACGAGAGCACAGGAAGCCAGCCCAGCAGCGAGTTCCTCCTCTTCCATGTCACTTCCGCCAACCCTGGCTGCGTCCGCCACTTGGGAAGTTAGTGAGAATACTTTCAGAGGGGCAAGACTTGGTTTCATTCAAAGCTTCCTGCTTATTTGCCTCTTGGGGGGAAAAAAAAAAAGGAGCTGTCTATTCAGTGTGTTGGGTATAGTTAGAGCTACCTCTCTCCAGCAGTTCCATATCAAGGGCCCAGGAGAGTTGGAGGCAGGGACCCAAACACCAGAATAGGTGCTTACCCAACTGTCCTTAGTAGTGCTACACAGGGGAGCCAAGAGAGAGAAGCAACCAGCCATCCATTCAAAGTGTGGTTTGTCCACACAATGGAGTTTTTTTTTTGTTTTTTTTTGTGGTACTGGGGATTGAACTCAGGACCTTGCGCTTGTCAGGCAGGTGCTTATTCTACTGAGCTATTTCCCTGGCCCTCTTTTTTTTTTTTTTAACTTTAAAAAATCATTTATGTATGTATTTGGTGCAGGGTCTCTTTTACACAGCTCAAACTCATAGTGGTCCTCCTGTCTTGGCCTCCTCAGCACTGGGATTACAGATATGCGCCACCTCGCCCAGTTTCAGTGGCTGGCTCTGTGCAGGGCTGACATGGCATGTGATACCAAGAATCAAACCCAGGTCCTTGTGCTTCCCAGGCAGGCATTTAGACTGCCAAGCTGTCTCCCCAGCTCTGTACACTATAGTCTTTTTTTTTTTTTTTTTTTCTTTCTTTTTGGCGGAACTCCCCAGTTGAACTCAGACCCTTGCTCTTGCCTGGGAAGCGCTTATTCTACTGAGCCATCTCCCTGGCCCCTACATTGTAGTCGTAATCATAAAGAATGAAACACTGATGCCTGCTGCAGTGTGGACAGACATTGAAATCATTGTGCTGCTGGGTAAAAGATGCAAGGCCACATAATTGTGGGACTGCATTTGTGTGAAATGTCCAGATTAAGCAGATGCGTAGGTCGGAACGCAGATTCGTGGTTGCCAGAGCCTGGCGGAGGTGGGAGCAGGGCATGACGCTGAGTGGGGCCAGTGTTTCCTTCTGGGTGCTAACACTGGGACAGGATAGCAGTAATGGCTGCACAACGCTGTGAGTGCACTGAAGAGTGCCTTACACTCTACAGTGGTCACAGTGGCAAGTGTTATATGTGTCTTACACACACACTCACACACTCCCTATTTTTCCTTCCAGCCACCACATCGGTCTCAACATTGACCCAGCCGTGAAGGCCATTGTGGGCATCTTCAGCTTGGTGACAGGGAAAATCCCTCTGTTTGCAGCTCATGGAGGAGGCAGCAGAGAAAACCTGGCACTGCAAAACGTGCAGGTACGGCCCCTGAGCCTTGGCCGTGATCCCTACCCGCGTGGGAGGGGCAGTGGGAGCCCCGGCAACAGCTGGCGCTGGTTAGCGCTGCGTTAGACACTGAGCACTCCTCCAGGTTTCTCAGGTGCCGCTGAGTGTGAGAGAGCACTAGGGTGTGTCAGAAGTGTGAGGGTCAGTGTATACTCATGCACATGTATGTATAGGTATAAAAGAAGTGTGTGATTGTGCGAATATGCAAAATGTAAAAGTGTATGTCCCTGTATTTGTGCACATTAGTGTGTGAGCATGTGTACCAATGTGAGTGTGTACTGTGGGGATGTGCAAAAGTGTCAATTTTTTGTGTGTCTAAGTGTGCTAGTAGATCTGTGTGAGTGCGTGTCTGAGCCCATGGATTTGTATGGGGGGATGTGTGTAGAAGTATATGCGTATGTGCCCAAAGGTGAGTGTGCCCAAGTGCATGAGTGTATGTGTGGGCATGGGTGTGCATGTGAGTGTGAGGAGGAGTGCAGAGGTGTGTCCCTGAGCATCTGCAGAAGCCTGTGTGGGAATGTGAGCACAAGCAGGGGTGTGAGTGTGTGTGTGCATTTCTTCAATGGAGCGCTCAGCCCTGCTCTCTGTCCTTGGTTGCTGTGGCGGAAATGGGACTACGCAGCAGTAGAAGGAGAAGAAACACTGGGTTGCACTGCGTGGGGCTGTCCTTTCTGTGTCCCCTTCCTGCTGTGCATGGGTCCCTTTTCCCTTCTGAAGTACCAGTGGTAAAGAGGGCAAAATGGGGTGGCTGAGCCTTTTCTGGGGCTCACTGTCACTCGATCCTACCCCTGAGGCTCCCTCCATCATCCCAGGTTCCAACAGTGGAGAAGCTGGGACCCTCCCTGCTCACAGGGGTGCTGCTGAGGAACTTGAGGAATGCCTTGAGATTTTCCTCGGAAAACTGGGCAGCCCAAATGTTTCTGAGGCATTGCTGGGAAGCCTTCCTCCTGACCTAGGGTGGGGCTGTGCTGCAGCAACATGTAGGGTAATTCCTTCTTTGTTTCCCAGGCTCGGATCAGAATGGTGCTCGCCTACCTGTTTGCCCAGCTGAGCCTCTGGTCCCGGGGTGCCCGTGGTGGGCTCCTTGTGCTTGGATCTGCCAACGTGGATGAGAGGTATGTGTGGCCCCACTGTGGCAGGCTCCTGCACATCCTGACTACCTCAGGCAGTGCTCCCACAGCAGTCAGTGGTCCTCAGTCTTTTGCTACCAGGAGCTGGTTTTATGGAAGACAGTTTTTCCACAGACTGGGATTGAGGGATGGTGTCATTATGATTTAAGCATACTGTGTTTACTTTTATTATTATTATATTGGCATATCTAACAAAATAATTACATAATTCATCGTAATGTAGAATCAGTAGGAGTTGAGTTTGTTTTTCTGCAACTAAAGAGTCCCATCTGAGAGTGGTGGGTGTCACTGACACCTGAAGTGTGTAGCTCATATCTAGTTTGCTCATGATCTTACTTTGGCTGCTATTACTGGAAATAAAACAAACAAAAAACTCTGCTTCACAAAGATAGAATGCGAGCAGCAATGGAAGCAGGCTTTTCAGTGCCTGCTTTAATCTAGAACATACGCGTATTTGAAGTTGTCTCAGACACACTTTGAAGGACACTGTCCTTTGCCATCTCAGGCACTTGGTCCTCTTGTGACACAGAGGACATTGATTCACCGCTGTCTCATGGATCCATTCCTTCCCAGTTCAGGGGTCTTTTGTGGTTGGGAAGTAATTCTCAAGTTCCTTTGAAAGAAGGAACACCAGCGGGCATAAAGAAGGCCCTGGTTTAATCTCTTTCAAAACCTCTGCTAATGTTTGTAACATGTAAAAAAAAAAAGTCCACCATTGCCATGCCATTCCAGCTTGGCTTTGAATGCAGCCACTCTATCTAACAGCGTGAACACAGTTGCCCTCCTCCCCTGAAGTGGCAGAATTGAGTTCATTGAGCAGGTTGAATATGTCCCACAAGTAAGCAGGTTTTGTGACCTGTGCTGTGTCACTGAAAGACACTGCCAGTGGTGACTGTCTTACTAAAAGCAATCTCTGGGGCAGCTCATAACTCAAGAACTCCAGCCAGTGATGCTGCTTTGGAAAGCCATCTCACTCCAGTGTATAAGAGAAGTTGTGCACACTCTGCATCCATCTCCTCTTAGACCTGGATGAACAGACAAGGACTTTGGTCACATCCCACAAAACATTGTGACGTTCAGGTGACATCTTTGGCTAGCCAGACTTTCTTTACAGTCATGGACTCACATTCAGAAGCAGCCTCTTCAACATGAGAAGTGAAACCAGAAGGTTGTCCACCACCGCTCCATCCATGCATGTACTGACCCAAAGTGATCGTGTCTGTTTTCCTGATAGATAATCATTTGAAGATTTAAATAGTTGTGATATTATGATGTTGGTTGGCCACAAAAGTGTACTAATACGGGCTGGGGAAATAGCTCAGCAGTGTAAGTGCCTGCCTGGCAAGCACAAGGTCCTGAGTTCGATCCCCAGTACAAAAATCAGTGTACCTACTGTATCCTTATATACATCCTCCTGAAAAAGAGGTCACACAAAAGCAAGCGTTACTGTCTTATTATCAACATTAGTAGACTCATCAACCTGGATTGTTCCCACAGTTGTACCTCAGTACCCATTGCTGTTTCATCAGTTTGTCTACTTAGGGTGCTAGCTGGAAGAGGAACTTGTGGCATGTCCTTCGCCGCAGCCACTCGTAAAACTTTACATCAAATGTCCTTAGCAGCAGGCGGGTTCCCCTGCACCAGAAGCAAAGGGCTTCTTAGCTTTAGCAAGGCAGTTAGTGACGCTCTCAGTGCAGACCCATTTGAAGTGATGGCCTTCGGTGACTACTTCCATTCTTCATGTTCACATCTTTTTCTTTTGAAACACTCCAAAGACTTGTCTTTTAATCCCAGGTGCTCTGTTTCCACGTGGAGAAGCAGTTATGAAGGCTTCACAGCTCTGTTGCATAGCGGCATGAGCCTGTAATTGAAGCAGCACTCTTGGTGTTTCAAGTGCAGCTCTGTTTCTGTTGGCAGCCTTAGGCTCTTCTGCTGTGCATTCAGTGGTTGTTTCCCCTTTTTCAAAGCAGCTCTTCAGTGACATTTATATTTGACTCATTTTGGTTAGAGTCAGCTTGTGGGTTCACAAAAACTGACTGAAAAAAAGTGTACAGTGTGGGAAACAAGTGCCTTTGGAAGTGGCAAATAAAATAATTCGTGGGCGACGTATCAACTGAAATAAGTGTTAGTTTCTGACTCATACCCTGCAGACAGATGCAGCTTAATTGTCACTTGCCAATCACTGATAGAATCTTGCTATGAATCTGTAACAGTCAAATTATTATGTTCCCTGTATAGTCTAATTTTTGTTAGTTTTAATCTGTATTCAAGCCAGTTCTCAGTGCTAGCCTCACAGCTTCAGCCCCACCTCAGATCATCAGGTTTCACATTCTTATAAAGAACATACAATGTAGACTCTTTGTATGTGCATTTTATAGCAGGGTTGGCCCCCGTGAGAATCTAACGCCACCACTGATCTGGCAGGAGGTGGCGCTCAGGTGCCCACCTGGATAGTGGGGAGCAGCTGTAAATACAGATGAAGCTTGCTTTGCTGCCTGTTGGCCATGTCCTGCTGTGTGGTCGGAGGGTTGGGGACCCTGTCCTACAGTGTCTGACCAGTTCATGCCATGTCTGTGACATACACAGGGAGGAGACTCATGGAAGTTTGGTACCCACGGCATCATTCCTGCAGCAGTGTCAGGATAATAGAGGTAGGCAGGTTACAGTGGCATTCAGTGCTTTCTCACTGACTCTTGCCCAACCCACCCCACAGTACCTGTGTCATCCATCCTGTGGTCCTTCGTTCATGCGGCCAGTGTGAGTCCATCCCCACTAGCCACGTGCGGGCTGGCTTCCTTCTCCTGGCTTCTCCGTTGTATCTTACATCATTCCTTTGCATCTAATTTTCACCTCAAAACTAGATAGTTCATTTTGACATAAACTGAAAATAATTTATTCATTATGCTTGCTTGTTTAAAAAAAACAAATCTAGAGACTCTGTCTTGTCTCCAGATAAAGTTCAAGCTGACTTCAGGCCCAGCAGTGAAGGATGGAAGATCTTCCTCAGATTCAGTTTCCCAACTTTACTGAAACGAGCTTCCCTCCCTCTCAGCTGTTCTTTTGGCTATTCTTAGTTTCTTATAAGTTGAGAAATTTTAAAATTTTGTCATTAGTTGATCTATCCATCAGTCAGCCAACTGACCCACTTGTCCATCTATCCATTTATCTGTCCCTCCATTCAGTCATGCATCCAGGGACCCACTCATCCACCTGCCTGTCCACCCATCTTTCATCCGCTCATCTATCCACCTACCTACCCTTGTTCCCTCCACCAAGTGTCCATCTGCACATGCACTTACGTATCCGTCCTCCTGTATTTTTATCTGTAGTGTGCTGTACAGTTTCTGCATCCTCGTATGTCTGCAAATGTATTCTCTTTTAAGTTTTATTTTTATTTACTTTTAGTAATATCTTATTTCTCTAATAATAATATGAAGCTAACACAATGTATCTGCTAAATGTTCTCACCCTCTGTGCTTACTTTGTTAATTCTCCTTTTTGCCTTCAGTGCTTGTGGTAAGGGAATTATTTTTTGACAGGGACACGGTAGAATGGGATACGTTCTGAGACTTGACGTGATTGAGAATATAGTTTTCCTTTTGTAGATGAGCAAGCACTTGACCTATTATAAAGTTATATTGTTCCTCCTCACAACTTTCACCTATTGTATTTGGGTATTTAAAATTTTACCAAGAATATTTACCAAAAATATTTGGCACTCTGAGCATGTACAGATTTTAGAAGTGTATTTAGAAAATAAATACGGCGCATAATATCTAGTACACATTCATTTCCTTATCACCCTTTGCTGCTAAGCCTCTCTCCTAAGTAGACAGGTTCTCTAAGATTGAGAATACTCTTCTTCTGTTATCTATTGGTTGTGCTTTTTCTGTCCTGTTGGCTTTTCATTTCTGTTGTATCTGTTCGTGTTTTTGCTTTCCCCATCTATTCATTCGATATACTCTTCTCATTCAGTATACTCATTCCTGTTTTTCTTTTGTATTCTGGGATAGAATCTCAAAGTTTGTAGTTTTCTACAGTATTTTAAGATTTTTCTTTCTCAAATTCAGTTTTCTAGTTGCTTCTAATTCTAATTTTTAATTTGGTTACATTCAAGTTTGTTCTTGCATCAGGTAGTACAGAATACAGAGTAGCAAAACAGAAGCGTACGTGTCCGTGAACATCTGCAGGGCAAGGCAAAGGAGGGAAAAGGAGTTCAGGAGTCTTGGGAGCTTACAAGCCTCAGGTTGGTCAGAGGGCCTCATGGAGAAGCGTTTTGTAAGCCTGCAAACAGTGAGGGAGGGAATGTGGTTCAGCTAGAGCCTGTGCAGAAGTCCTGGGGTGTGACTGCACCCAGACTGAGAATAAGAGTGGGGAACGGGGGACCTGCTAGGGCAGGTTCAGGGGATAGCTCAGAGCCAGCTCTTCTAGAAGTTGATGTGGAAGAGTAGGGGAGGTGAAGGACAGTAGCTGGGGGAGTGTGGGGATAAGGGCAGGCACTGTCTTATATTAAAGTGCTGGTGTGTCAGGGCCAGCAGAGGGGCACTGCTTGGGGGAGGTGAGCAGGACCCAGGAGGGGGCTGGCTCTGCAGGCGGCCCACCAGTGCATCCAGAGCGAGACAGGGCTCTGGGAGAGAGGGGATGAGGCAGTACCCTGGAGACAGAAGTAGGAGGGATGTCAGAACTGGAGCATGCCTGCGGCTGGGCCGTGGCTTCCTCTGCAGCCAGAACACAGAAAGCTGCGCTCAAATCAAGGTGGGGTTCTGCCAGCTGAAGATGACAGAGAAGTGAAAGGCTGACATGCAGAAGAGAGATAGAAAGGGACAAGACATTTAGGGTCTGAGTCCCTGGTGACCTGGGCAGTGCAGAGGCCTGGTCAGGGCTGGCCTTAGAGCTGGAGCAGCAGCATAGCGCTGAGGCGTCCAGCAGTAGCCTGGAGGTCCAGACAGAGAACACAGTAGCCCACACAAGAGCCATCAGCCAGGGGTTGGATGGAAAGGAACAGATCTGCTGGAGAAGCGTGGGCTCCCTGTGGCTGCTGGGACAGATGACTGCAGAGGGAACGGCTCGTGCTGCACAGATGGTTGCTCGCGGCTCAGCAGGCCAGATGCTGGGCTAGTGCTGAGGTCAGGTGGCTCCAGCACATGCGGTCCTTGCTCCCCCATCTCCAGAGCCCCCACTTCCTGCCCCTCTCTGGCCTGGGGAGGCATCTTGCTGCCTGGCCTCTGTGCATAGCTCTCCTTGCCATCCTTCCTCCCCAGCACACCAGGGACCTTGGTCGTTACAGTTTTCTCCTTCCTTGTAATCTAGGACCATCTCCCATCTCGCCTTCAGTTCAACCCATCGGCAAAGCGCCTTCCACGGGTTAGGGCACATACTTGCAAGCTCTAAGGTCTCTACTGCCACTCAGGCTGAGCTCTGTGGGTGCTGTGGTCCCACTTCCCACTTAGGGACCTCTGTCCCTCAGCTGCAACCCAGCTTCACCTTCTAGGCAGCTGGGAACTAGAGATGCCCAAGCTCGTTTCCTGGCCCAGCCGGCTTTCCTGCCTGTGCCCCCAGCAGCCTGCCCTATGCACGTGTACATCCTTCTCCAGGCGCCTGGAGCCTGCCAGGCTTCTGGGAGAAGCGAGTCTGCAGATGGCCCGAATCCTCCCTCTCTCTCTCTCCCTCTCTCAGTCTGCTCGGCTACCTGACCAAGTATGACTGCTCCAGTGCAGACATCAACCCCATTGGCGGAATCAGCAAGACTGATCTGAGAGCCTTCGTCCAGTTCTGCATGGAGCAGTTCGGGCTTCCTGCGCTGCAGGGGTGAGTGTGCGTCCCCCGGGCTGGGGCTGCAGCTCTGGCCACCAGGCATCTTGCCCTGTGACCATCCTGTGTAGCTCCAGGTCCCCCAGTGGAAGCAGCCACCCTTCCTCCAGTATCCACAGCTGGGCCGCCCTGTCTGCCGTCACTGTCCAGATGGTGTGTCTGCGTCTGCCTCTGGCCCTCACCACCTCTTTCCCACCTACTTGAGGCAAAAGAGACCCTTGCAGGCACCTGGCACTCAGTGATGTTTCTTTTTTTCCTTTCTTTTTCATGTTGGGGCTTGAGCCCAGGGCTTTCCTAATGAGCTGCATCCCCAGTCCTTTATGAACTTTCTGTCTTGAGGTAGGATCTGTTAAGTCACTAAGTCATCCAGCAGGCTCAGACTTACCATCCTTGTGCCTCAGCTGGGATTACAGGTGTGTACCACCATGCCTGGGTTGTATTTTGTTTCGTTCTGTGATGCGGGGGATTGAACTGAGGGCCTTTACACTGAGCTACATCCCCAGCACTTCTTTAATATTTTTATTTTTAGACAGGGTCTCACTAAATCGCTAAGTTATCCAGGCTGGGATCCTCCTGCCTCAGCCTCCCAGAATACTGGGATTACAGGTAAAATTTATTTGCAGCGTGTATAATATATTATGACTTAAATAGCCCTAGTAAGTTTGTAACAGCAGCAGAGCAGTTCATGTCCCAATTTTCCTCATCCTAGAGTTCTGATCTCTCCAGGGACTGTAGATTTTAACTTTATCATTTCTTATTTTAGTGTTCACATCTTCTTCACTTTTTCAATTTTTCATTTGTTTGTTTGTTTTGTTTTCACTGTTTACTCCAGGCAGGCCTTGAACTCCATGACAGTCTACCCACCTCAGTGCCCTGAGTGCTGGGATTGCGGGTGTGCACCACCACACCTGGCTTCTCACTGTTTCTCACTCAGTTGACCTAATACCTAGAGCCCGTCTAGGCCTTTCCCTCATTGTTCCTGCATAGGGAACATCCTTGACCTTGCTTGTCTTCCCTGGGACTTAGAGTTGTCATGCACTGTGGTGAGCCGAGGCCAGGGTGCTCCTAGGCATCCTGCAGGGCACTGGAAGCCACCCAGCCCCTGTGTCCACCGATGGATGCTGGGCTGTGCCTCCCACCAGGGTGCCCAACACCAAGATCCTCTGCTGTGGCTGGCAGCGGCCATCTGCTGGGGACCAGGGGTCTGGGGTTCCCCTGATGAGAGTGAGTCCGGCAGCAGCCTGGTGATTGTTCTCTGTCTCTCTCGGTCACAGCATCCTCTCAGCACCAGCCACCGCAGAGCTGGAGCCCTTGGCCAACGGGCAGGTGTCCCAGACAGATGAGGTAATGGTGACTGTCACGGTGCCCTTTCCCCTGTCCCTGGCGTAGAGGGTCTCCTGTGCTCAGTGCGACCTTGGAGAAGATTCACTTATCTCCTGCGTCATACTGGCCTTGCATCCTTGGGGCTGTCAGTCGTGGTTCACAGCTTGCATGAAGGCTGGAAGAAGTCTCTGGGGACAGACCCGCCAGCCTCCTGTGAGCAGAGATTTACTCCTATATTTTCTTCCAAAAGTTTTAGTCCTTACATTTAGGTCTGTGGGCAGGTCCACTTTGTTCTTACATTCTTTGTAAGGTTGAAGGAACTTTTCAAGGGATTTTTTGGGGGAGGTAGGAGGCAGTGCTAGGATGGAATCCAGAGTCTTAAGCATGCAGAGTAAGTGCCCTACCTGTGAGCCGCCCCTAGCCCACTTTGTAGGGTTCAGTGTTCTAGAGCTCATAGCAGGAGGAGGGCTCTTCAGTGCTGCTGGGCAGTTGCTCTGCAGTGTCCCTTCGCCTCTGACCCTTGCTGACAGTGTCCACTTGACAGCATTATCAAAAGTGGGGTATTGAAGCCTCCACCTGCTGTTGTTGAATTGGGGGAACAAAAATGTCACACTAGGAAACCCCCTTCGTGCAAGGAAACCAGGAGCCCAGCTTCTTGTGCAGGGACCTGTAGAGTGCCAGGGACTCCATGGGGAGAAAGATGTGGCCGCTGCTCTTAAAATGCTGGGGCGTCCCCTGGAGAGGAAAGACAAGAAGGCTGTCGCCGTGATGGTCCCATGGCTGCAGGTGCCGTGGATGCGATGGAGGCGGAGGTGGTGGCCGTGTTCTCAGGTGAGGGTCGGCACAGGTCCTGGGAAGATGGCATTGGGACTGAAGCCTGAGGGAAGGCCCGCATGGCCATCTGGGCCTCAGGCAGCTAGCTAGAGGCCATGCCACTGAGGGCCCCAGAGGCACTGGCCGGAGGAAAGGCCCTGTTGCTGTGCACTACTGAAGGCCAGTGTCACTGTCTCCCTGGTGATGCTCTGGAGCTTAGCAGGACTGTGAAGGAACTGGTAGCTATGACATTGGCAAAGGCCATGACTGGTGTGAGCCATAGAATAGAGGAGGTCCTTGTGAGTGTCGCTTGAAGCATTCAGAGTCTGGCTCCATGAAGTTCACAGTATTTGGTGGCTTCTCACGTGGCCCACACTTCTGTGAGTTTGTTTCCTCCTCTCTGAGCCTTCCACGCTTCAGGGAAGAGGGCTCAGGTGGCCAGGGGACAGGGTCCATCTGCTCCCTTAAGCTCTTGTAGCTGCCATAACAAATGGCCACAAAGCAGGTGACTTCAGGCAGTAGAACTGCTTTCTCTCCCAGTCCTGGAAGTCCTGGGTCTGACAGCAAGGTGCAGGTGGAGCTGAGGACCCCTGAAGACCTATGGGAGGGCCCTTCCTGCCTCTCCTGGCTTCTAGAAGCTTCAGGCATTACTTAGCTTGTGACCTGACATTCCCATCCCTCCTGCTCTTCTCCTTATGTGTCTTCTCTGACTGACCCTTCCTCGGAACACTGGTCTTTGGATTTAGAGTCCATCCAACATCTGGGATTGTGTTACCTCACTGTGTTTAACTTAATTACACCTAAAAATAACAAACAAACAAAAAACCCACTTTCTACATAAGGTCACAGGAACCTACACTCAGGAGACGGACATGTCCTCTGGGGGCCACTGGTCCCCCCATAGTCCTCAAACCCAGTGTCTGGTTCTTGGTCATTGTCCCAAATCACAACCCATGTATGGCCAACCAGCTCTAGGAAGTAGGGCCGGCATCTGCTCTGGGCCCTAGGAAGTCTCCTCATAGCCCAGGCCTCTGATTCACACCACAGAGGAACACTGAGCTCCCTGTGGCCCTGCCTGTCCTGGTGCCCTGGAGTGGATCTCTTCCTCCTCTGCAGGATGACATGGGGATGACGTACTCAGAGCTCTCAGTGTACGGGAAGCTCAGGAAGATAGCCAAGGCGGGGCCCTTCAGCATGTTCTGCAAGCTCCTCACCATGTGGAAGGACACCTGCACCCCAAGACAGGTAAGGCTACCCATGACGTCTTGCAGACAAAGACCAGCAGGCAGAGCCGTGTGTGCAGCTGTCCATGGGCCTGCTGGAGCGAGTGAGTGCCCTGTGAGCGCACCACAGCAGCTCCATGCCATGGAGTAACACTTCCCCATACTCGTTTTTCACCAGTTCAGGTCCTCAGTTTGCTCTGAATTAACTCGGGCCAGGGTCAGCCACACCAGGTGCATGCACGCACTAAGCCCCTGCTGTGGTGAGGGTAGCACGGAGACTCTGAGGTCAGAATATGGTATAGCTACCTTTCTGCTTATTGTGAGCCTTGTTAGGATAGAGGTGTACAGATGTGCTGGTCCGACAGCAGCCCATGAAACGTGTATGCAAGCCCTCTTAGGTCTCCGGCAGCAGAGCCGCTCTAGCAGTGTCCACTCCTGCCACCAAGACAGGCCGCCTACAAGGGCTGGCCGCTTTCTCTCATTGTCCAGTGTGAGAATGCTGGCCTCGGTCTTCCTGGATTCACTCGAGGCCTGTGTGTCGTGTTCCCACCAGGTGGCTGACAAGGTGAAGCGATTCTTCTGGAAATACTCTGTGAACAGACACAAGATGACCACGCTCACCCCTGCGTATCACGCGGAGAACTACAGCCCTGATGATAACAGGTTCGATCTGCGGCCCATCCTGTACAACACGCGCTGGCCGTGGCAGTTCCGGTGCATCGAGAGCCAGGTACGTCGTGCCAGGCACCCTTCTTTGCGAGCTGCAGGGTGTACATGAGCGCTGGGCATCAAGACTTCTTCTCTGCACACAGAGGCATATCTTACTACCCTTATTTCTGCAGAGGGGCAAGTGTATTTAAAAGGTTGTTTGTTTTTTTCTTTTTAATGGACAAAAATTGCTTCTATGTGCATACGGTGTATAGCATGATGTTTTGAAATACGGTATGCAATTTAAAATATAGTATTTGACTTTTTAAAAAATAATCTATGCAATAAAAATACATTGCCATTACTCCCCTCAGAATGCTCCCCAGCACTTCCAGCGTCCTGATCCCACTGTTTTTGCCACTTTCTGAAGCAGTTCTGGCGGTCCCCTCAGGAGCGTCTTGTAGTTGTGCTGTCATGGCTGCCGCAGAGTCTGCAATTAGTTCCAAATGGTTGTCTTTCGTGGTGACTCTGGCTTTGAGGAACAACAGGAGGATGAGGACACACCACAGTGTTCATTTTCTTTTCTTTTTCCTTTTATGTCCTGCCTCTCAGCATGAGCAGTCAGTGTTTTCAGCCTAAGCTCATAAAAGACACTCATGAACTTGGACTTCCAGGACTGCTTCAAAAGCTGGCAGAAGCCACGGGAAGTGGGTGTTCGCATATCCAAGTAGGCCGAGTTTCTCGAGGAGGGTTAATGGCCGTGTATCTTTTATTGTAATACACACACTTGGTGAGTGGCTAAATCAGACACAGGTATTACCTCACTTTGGGTGATGAGAACACTTAAAATTTAGCCCTGTTTTGCTGTGCGCAATGCATCGCTCTTAGTTGCAGTCACTGTTGCGCAGTATCCCCGGAGCTGCTCCCTTCTGCCTGACTGAAATGTGGCATCCTTTAACCACCGACTCCCCAGTGCTTTCCCCTTAGTCCCTGGGAACCACGACTCTATTCTCTACTTGCTTCCAAGAAAGAGTACAGTGTCTCTAGAACCCACCTGTGTGTGAGGTCCCATGGTCCTTGTCTTTCTGAGCCTGGCTCGTTTCACACAGCATGTTTGTTGATGTCATTACACACAACAGGACTTCCTTCTTGCAAAGGCAGAATAGTGTTCCACTACGTAGACAAACGACGTGTTCAGCCGTGGCTCCACTGGTGGACACTCGGTGGCCTTCTTGGTTGCTGTGAACAGTGCTACAGTGAGCAGGGGGTGTCTATGCTCCCGAGTCTACCTTCCTGTGGGGACCCTGTGGGGCTTGGGATCGCTGGAGCATGTGGGAGATCTGTTGTCATTTTGAAAGGAGCCTCCATACAGCATTCCATAGTGGCTGTGCTAACTCACACGCACATCTGGGGCAAGTCGGAGTTTGGCAGGCGCTATTTTTTACCACGCTGCACTTACTGGCACCGAGTGCCCTAAAGTTAGCAGCTGTGCATCCCTTGATGAATGTGGTGCCAGTCACTGTCACTTTAAACAGCTAGAATGTCCAGGTGGCGGGGCCTCTTCTAAAGTACCCCATCTTCCCTTTTACTAACTAATTAATAATGTAAAGATCCATAAAGTCAATGCAAAAGCAAGTATGAGTCTTCCCTTCCTGCCCTTTTTTAGGCCTGGTACATCCTCACTGTCCTCTGGTGGACCCACACTGTGCTTGCCACAGCAGCAAATGTCCACCCAGCATCTCTCCAGGAAGGGGACAGCCCAGTCTCAAGGCCAGGCCAGGTGCTGGGCCATCCAGGGTAGGAAGGGACAGCTTTGCCCAGTTCTGTCTCTTTTAGCATAAATTCAGGTCTAGGCTTCTACCCAGCTATGGGTAGGTGAAGATAAAAACTCCCAGCGTCTTCCTGGGCCCCGTGACCTCCACAAACATGCTGAGTCTTCCTCTTGCCCATCCCCACTGTGGTTTCAGCAGATACCATTTGGTAACCTGTGTTCTCAGTGCCACCCGTGAGGCCCTCAGGGTGTGGCCGCTGTCCATGGGCAGCACAGGTGTTGAGGCTGCATGGTGACTGTTCCTGGACATCTCTCTCCAGGTTCTTCAGCTTGAGAAGAAAACGAGGCAGGACCTGGACGGCTCAGACTGAGGGTCACACCTGCCTGAAGCCTCCCTTTCCTGGGACATGTGACGTTGGTGTAACCCTGGCCAAGGGGAGCCATACGTGAATCAGTTTGCTTTTTGTTCTTTGTTTTTGTTTTGGTGTTTTTGTTTTGTTTTGGCACTAGGCACTTATGCCGCTGAGCTACCTCCCTGAGCCATAAATCAGTTTTATTTCATGTTCAGAGCCAGAAAAGTCTTTTCATTGTAATTCCTTCAAGAGAAGCGAAAATAAAGCGAGTATATTCTTGAACCCTGAGCAGGAGCCCTGCTTCAGCCTTCAGCTGCACGATAGCTCTTGGGGTTGGTGGTGCTTCAGTGGCATCTTTGCAAGAAAATCCTGAGCAGAAAGCAGGAGAACCTGCCCACCCATTCATCCTTGGCTTCAGACGGGGGTCCCAGCATGCGCTCCCCCATTAGCGGCCCTGAGCTAGCAGCCCCACCCTGCTCTCAGTTAAAGTATAATATGCCCAGTTATAGGCTAGTTTCTTTTTTTTTTCTCCATAATTTTATTGAGAAATAAATAACAATGAGACAGTTTCAAATCAAATTGGTAGGACAGTTCCAATAATTAACACATTGCATACTGTGTTCCTAGTGGTTATGTGTTGTACAAGATGCAGACATGATATCCTGTTTACAAACACTATTAGAACAAATCCCCTATTCATTGAATTAAGAGAATATAGCTATATATCTATCCTAACCATTTTGAATACACAGATACAAGATGGTCGTTCATCTATATCCCCTTTTTTTGTTTAGTTCCGTCATTTAAATATTATAGGTGTATGAACTCAGCAAAATATTCCAAAATAGTCTAGTAGTCCATGATAGTATTGGCTGTTCTGCTTGACTGGCAATGTCAGAAGTTGTTGACCTGAGTCCCCTCACCCTGACTGACTATATATACTGACACCTGTGAACTAAGCAACTGCACTGGAGATGGCAGTTTGTCGCAGTAGGTTCATGCTTGGAGGGCCTGTCACTCTGGCCTTCTGAATACGGGCTGCTTGTCGTGACACGCCAGTTGCTGCCTGCATGGCAGTATATATAGCCATGCTGACTCTCGGGTTCAATTGTTTAAAAAGGAAGGGGGTGGTGAATGAAGGCAGGAGACAGGAAAAGGAGTGTTGTGGGACTGTCCTGCTAGTTTCTGTTAGGGAGTTGTACCCGCTCAGTTATGGGGCAGCCAGTTGTGGATTGGTGGCCGTTTCATTTAAAGGTCTCAAACCCAGTTGTAGGCTTGTCACCTTTCAGCGTTACGTGGTTTCCACAAAAGAAGCCATCAGTTTCTCTCTGTGGGTACCCATCTTGTGAAGATCTCCCCTAGTGCCTCCTAGAGAGAGAAGTGTGCCCTCACATGGAACCAGGACTCAGCCTGGCCGGAACCTTCTCACAACCCTCCTGGGGTGGGTGCAGGGGGCTGGGAGACGTAAATATCCCTCCTCCCACTGGAGAACCATGCTGGGCAGGACGTGGCTCTGAATTGCAAAAGCAGTTTGAAGGAACCCACACTGGGAGCCCCCATCTCCCTGCATAGGGGAGTATGCATGGCTGGAGCTCATCGGCTCTGTGTTGTCTGTTCATGGTCAGCTGGCTCAGAGGTCAGCGTCATAGGAATTCTAGAGATAGGGAGGGGGAAGCCTTGTGATATGACAGCACACAGTTCAGAAATCAAGGAGAAACTGCAGCGGGACTTCAAAAATGGGCCAGGAAAATGTGCAAGAATGAGGCCAACTGTTTGTTTCTCTCACAAAGAAATCCTTCTTCTGTGAGATCCATGAAAAGCTGAGGGCAGATCGGTCTGTGTGAGCTGTGGTCTGAATGTGGCCCCCAGAAGGCATGAGCTGGAAACCTAATCTCCAGCACAGCAGTGTTAGGAGGTGGGGTCAGCCAGAGGCCACTGGACTCCCCCTTCATGAATTGGTTAATCCCAGTTGTAACAGGGCCAGAACAGCAACAAAGCCATGTGTGGTAGCACGCACCGAAGAGAGCAGTTCAGGCCTTGTCTCAAAGTCAAAAATAGAAAAAAGGTGTAGCTCAGTGTGAAGGGCTTGAGTTCACTGTCCTGTGCCGTGCCCGCAAGGAAGAGGAGGGGAAGAAGCAGCGGCACCGCCTAGGGACCCACATTTTGCAGTAGAGAGCGTGGCAAGGCGGGCTATTCAAGAGTGGAGTGAAACACAGGAATAAACCTGCTCTGCCTCGCTGGGCACTTCCTGGCCAGTGGGGCAAGAACAGGCTTTATAGATGGGTCCAACCACTACAGAAGTCAGTGTGGAGATCCCTCAGAAAACTAGAAATTAGAGGTCCCAGGCACCCCAGCTGTGGGCCAGGAATATAGGTCAGCAGCACAAGCACCTGCCTGGCAAGCACAAGGTCCTGAGTTCAATTCCCAATATAAATAAAAGGAACCCAGCTATTGCCCTCTTGGGCATTTTTCCAGAAGAACTGAAAGCATCGGCCACTGTGATGTATGTGCACCCTTGTTTATATCAGCACAAGTTGCCATAGCTAAATCTTGGAAGCTACCCAGATGCCCATCAACTGGGGAATGATAAAAAAAAGATGTGGTATTTTTATACAATGGAGCATTACTTAACTATAAAAAAAAAAAACTCTCAAGGCTTTTATAGGTAAGTAGATGCAACTAGAGACTATACTCAGAGGTGAAATAAATGAGACCCTCATGTGTAAACATCATACTGTCTCACTAGTGTGAAAAACCGAAAGGGTACATAAAACCCAAAAAGTACAATAGATGCTGTGAAAGGGAGAGACTGTTCAGTGGGAAAGGAAAAAAGGAGGGAAGAAGAAATGTATGTGTATATATACAGGACAGCTTGAATAGTTTACTGCTGGTTTCTGCTGGTCTATTGAAAGGAGCAGTTAATGCTTAATTTATTTCTTTCCCTTTTAATTTTTTTAACTTTTTTGACCAATTTTGTATGCTTATATCTGATAAACTAAACAGCTAATTTGAAGATATTATGCAATATAACCATTGTTGAATTCCTATTGTTTTGTTTTATTTACTTATTATGTATTTAGTACATGGTCTACAGTCTTACTACACAGATCAGACTTGTAGTGATCCTTCCTGTTTTTCAGCCTCCCAAGCGCTGGGATTGCAGGCATGCGGCACCACACCCAGTCTCAATTGCTATCTCAGTGCACCCCGGGGGCAGGGCCAGCACAGGCCAGGGATCCAGCCCCTGGCCCCTCCATCTGCCTAAGCAGGCGCTTTAATCCGCTAAGCCACCCCGAATTCCTATTATTTTGTTTAATGAAATTCTATATCATTTTGTTTTTATTCTTTACTAATTTTTATTCTCTTAAAAAAAGGTAACAGGCTTTCTGGTCTGATATGCCGGGCCTCAGTAATGGCTCCCACCTGCATCTTGCAGCATTGTTTTCACTTCTTTAGGTGTGGAATTCTCACCTGGAAAATGAAAGCCAGCTTTCCTACCTTAGGAAGAAAAGGCCCCTTGTGACGTTTTATGCAGCCCGCACTGCGGGATGTACTTGGCCCATGGCCACCTGCCGGTCACAGCGCTGCCTCTGGGGAGCTGAAATTCTACCAAGCGACAGAAGTAGCCAGGCAGTTCCAGCCTGGGCTAGTGTCACAAATATGCAAAGTACAAATGGTTCTGCACAACCCAAACGTGGAGCAGAGGAGAAAGCTCCAGGGCAGTGAGCTCCAGGTGGAGAATATCTGTGTGAGACAACAGCTGAGGAACAGGCAGGAGGGCGAGGGCAGTGGCCAAAATGACAGCGTGGGGAAGGCCAGGGCTCGGGAAAGCAAGACAACAAGGACACGCCAGGCTCTGAGGAGTCTGGTGTGTTCTGGGAAAGTCATAGGCTTTGTTCAGTTGTGTGAGACAGAAAGTGCATGTGATAAAACCTACTTTTTTTTTTTTCTTTTTGCGGCGTTGGGGATTGAACCCAAGGACCTTGCACTGAGCTACTCCCCCAACCCTGTTTTATTTTGAGACAAGATCTCAGTAAGTTGTCTAGGTTGGGCTCAGCCTTGTGATCCTCCTGCTTTAGCCTCTCAGACGTTGGGATTTAAGGCATGCACTGCCATACCTGGCTAAACAATACAGCCCCCAAGAGTGGGCCTGATACTTGCATTTCACCTGGACTTTTTTTTTTTTTTTTTTTTTTTTTTTTGTATTTTAGGGAAATCTATAGGGTGTTCAGGATCTCACTACTAGATCTGACTCATAATGATTCTCCTATTTACAGCTTCATAAGAGCTGGGACTGGGGGCCGGGGAGATAGCTCAGTAGAATAAGTGCTTACCTGGCAAGTGCAAGGGTCTGAGTTCAGTCCCTGGTTCCACAAAAAAAAAAAAAAAAAAAAAAAGCTGGGATTACAGGCACACACCACCAGACCCAGTCTAAATTGTCCCCAGTGGTGGCCCCATAGCAGGCCCAGGGACTGAACTCCCAGACCCTGCATCTGCTTGCAGGTGCTTTAATCTGCTGAGCTATTTGGTGGCCCTACAACTGGACTTTCTTGTAAGAATAAAAGGATGCCAGTAAAGTCACTGTCGAGCTTGCTGTGTATGTTCTCAAATGGACAATTACTCCAAGAGGTGGAAGGCAAAAGCTGCTGCCTATGACAGGGAACTAAAGAGTGGTTGATCAGTCACATGGTTAATGAGCGAGAGTTGGGGGGCTTCTACTGTTAGAGCAATTTGTGATTTTACCAAATGGTACGGCAAAGGCAGATTTACCAGTGATCCAAGAAACCTAGAAGCCGGGGGTGACCATTCATGGAGTAGCTCAAGGCATCCCAAGAATGGTGTCCCCAGGCTTCGGCCATGTGTAGACTGTTAAACTTCTGGTGTGACCAGAGCAGGGTGGTCATCTGTGGAGCCTGGAGTCATATAGGATCTAGGCTGGGGTGACTTGTATTGAAGTTGGGTCCTGAGCAGGTTTTGGGGATCAGGAAAGGCAGTCCAAGTTGACTGGGGATCTGGGAGTATGCCCTCCTAAGCCCGGTGTGAGGATCCACGGGGTGATGCCTGTAACTTCATCAGTGGTGAGAGTAACAAGTATAGTAACTTGAGGTCCCGTCCAGATGGGCTGGAGGGGTTCTTTTTTCCAGTCTTCCTCCCAGACCCGATCTCCTGCTGAAATGGGTATCCTGGATTGCCAGTGGGGCTGAGGGTCCTCTCTAGGACAGCTTTGGTTAACCCTAGAGAAAACTCTTTCTAGCACATGTGGCTCTTGGGAATATAGCTGTCTCTGA